GACAGTGTTAAGATATGACAAAATAATAATTTATAAATTATCAAGGGTTCGTGAGGGAGGGAGGGGGGAAAATGAGGAGCTGATGCCAAGGGCTTAAGTGGAGAGCAAATATTTTGAGAATGATGAGGGCAACTAGTCTATAAATGTGCTTGACACAATGGATGGATGAGTGGACTGTGATAAAACTTGTATGAGCCAATAAAATGATTAAAGAAAAAAAGAATGGTGGCAACACAGGTACAAATGTGTTAGATACAATTGACTTATGGATTATTATAAGATCTGTAAAAGCCCCCAACAAAATGAATAATAATTAAAACAAATTCTTACTGATAGTTTCAAAGCTTAAACATTTAGTCACTACAATCACTCTTCAACCGGTATATCCACAAACTCTGCTTGACTAGGAGCCCTGGTGGCATGGTCAGTTATGCATTGGGCTGCTAACCACAGGGTCATAAGTTTGAAACCACCAGTCCCTCTGCCGAGAAAGATGAGACTATACTCTCATAAAAACTAAATCTTTAGTCTTAGAAACCCACCTGCACTGCCGTACAAGGTTGCTTTGATCAGAATCAACTAGATAGCAATGACAATATGGTCCTGACTATCCTACTCTCTTATTCATCGGTGCCACATTGTCACCAGGTCCATTCTAGCTCTGAGAGACAGGTAACTGCTCCATAGGGTTTCTGAGAGAGTACATCAATATAGAACAGACCGTCTCATTCTTCTCTCAAAGAATGGCTCGTGGGTTTGAACCAACAACCTTAAGGTTAGCAGGCCAACACTTACCCATTTAAGTGCCTTAATTTCATAATAGATATATTAGCTGGCCATTTAGCTTACAAAGCCAAAAAATAATAAAAGAAACCCATTTGCCATCAAATCAATTCTGACTCAGTTAGGAAAAATTCAGTTAGCTCCCCTTGTCTCCCTCTCCTGGAAAAACCACTCTTATGAGTTCTGTATCTCTTTGCAGATGGTCTATCCATGCTCACCTTTGAAATCATGTTCATCCCCATGGCATCACCTGTCCTAGACTGGAAACGAACATAAAGGTTGCGTCCAGCCAGGCTAGTGTGAATTTTCTGTAGTCGTGCAAATCTATAGGCAGAGAAGCAAAGATTTTCGTTTTAGAGAAGATGGAAGCTATCTTGCCATGACTAGCTCAATGTGTAACCCACTGTGCCGCTAGGGCTCCTCGGAGGATGCCCCGTCCCTCCATTTGACACTGAAGGAAAGCCCATGAGTTCATGTCTTAGCTGACCTTCTTTAACTGAGTAAATAAAGCACTGAGGAAGCTACTCTAAGCAACTCATTCATTGGTGTCACAAGAGCTGCCAATAGTCACTTTCTAATTCAAATGGGCTTCACAAAGTTTGTGGA